ACCGCGTACCGGGCCCAGGGTGCACTTATTCTATTTATCGGAAAGCGTGAATAGTACCGCCGAGGAAAGGACATCATTCTTCCAAAAAAGTTACCCCGTACCGGGCCCAGGGTGTCCGGGACCCGGCAGGTAGACGCTCACTCAAGTTACTACAACCCAACCCGACCGACCTGACCTAGGAACAGCCGCAAAAGGTACTCAAGCACTGGACCCAGATGATCTTGCCCAATGTTGATTCTATCCTCTAGCTACCAGAAAATCGTCGCGGCGTCAGTTCGAAACTCCTGTACCGTCGCGGCGTCAGTATGAAACCTTAGAAACCAAAAGACCAGATCAAAAAACACAGTACCGCTAACCGCTGATAATCCAAACGTCATAAAAGAGAAGATTAGCATGACCCCTGCGCTTTCAAGGATGACACGAATAAACTGAGAAATGGTCCAAATTAAAAAAAAAAAAAAAAAAAACGTCATAAAGCCTTTTGTCAGGTTTTTTTTTTTTTTTTTTTTTTTTGAGCATCCATCTTCCTAAACGAGGATTTTTTTTTTTTTGTTTTTTTTTTTTTTTTTTTTTTTTTTTTTTTTTTTTTTTTTAAGTAAACGAGGACCTTTCTCTTTTTATAAACAAGCCGGGAAACGGGCCCGGCGTCCCTTAGAAAAAGTGGGCAGGCCACCCAATCGAGCATGGCATCATCAGCCAAACTCAACAGGGTGTCTGCGGTAACGGATGTCTCATCCCAGTCACCTCCTCGCTCTCTCACTCACTTACCTACTCATCAAACTTACTTACCTACTCATCAAAATTGTAGAAAGGTATTTCTTTTTACATCTAGTTTCCTTACTACCATTAAAAGCCAAACAAGAATACCGAAGCAAAACGAAATTGTAGAAAGTTTTTTTTTTTTTTTGAAGAAAAGTCCTTTATTTGTATAGCCGGAAAGCGGGTCCGGCGTCCCTCACATAAACACTGTGGCCATTTAGGCTGGGAAGGGCACTTCCGACCAATCCCATCCCCACCACAGTCAGGACTCAGTCCAAAAGATCAATGTATCTAGTCCAATCTTCCAAGCACTAAGATTAACTAGAACATGCCTATACTAACTGTAACACAACAGAACATTCAGCTACCGAATTCAACAGTCCAACATTGTCCTAAAAGAAACTCAAAATTAAGGAAAAAGGGAACAAAAGCCTTAAAAGCACTCTTATTGTACAAAAAAAGTAGAAAATCGGAGCATCGGTTGGCTGTCCTGTCGGGCATCCACTCTAACCAACCCCGAGAAATCACCCCATCTATTACAAAACCACTTGATGGCCTTTGCTGAAAAGGCCTTTCTTTGTACCCGATACTCCCAGTCTGCTAATATTGCCTGTTTGATAGCATACTTGACTTCAGCCCTTGTCATCGGCGGTGTAAGGTGTTCCCCTTCCCGTATTCTAGCGTTTCTGAGATTCCAAAGGGTCCACAAGATAGCACCTCGAATTGTCTCTTCTACATGAGCCTATCGCACTTGTGTAGCTGTTCGCCTGGCCGCGATCCCAAGGAGGACAAAGTTATCCCCCTAGCAGGAAGCCGCTCCTGGGATCGGGACATCCGATTGTCTCCACCAATCCCAAAAAGGTCTGGAAAGTTCACATTGCAACAAAAAATGTTGTATGTCCTCCATTCGGGTCCCTGAGCATATTTGGCACTCCGGCACAGCCTTCGTAGTTCTTTGAGCACACCAGGTGTTAACCGGGAGCGCCAAGTGCATCAAAAGCCAGAGCAAGCTCGCATGCTTACTCACCACCATGTCCATCAAAATTCTCCAAAAAGACGGAAGAGCTGTAGCCAATCTTGTTAGAGAATCGTCTATC